GGACAAAAATCAGGTGGTTTCCTTATCCAAGTAAAATGCTACTTGCACAAGATGCCTCCAACTTAAGTTTGGGCCATGACCTTCTCACCAGCAGCCCATATGGCCTATCCCATGCTGTTAAGGTACACCCCATCTGGAAAGGCTTTTCAGAGGGCACAAGGAAAAGGGAGCAACAATGTTCCCTTTTGAGAGCTTCCTTCTGCTTGCAGTTCTCAGGATATCTGCCACTGACTCTTGCCATCACTGTAATATTGTTTTATCTGAGTGAAATGGGTGTGGTCTGCTCAAACTATTTTCTCTCTAGAATGGAGCTTAAAAGATACTGGTACTATAAGTCTGTAGCAAAATCCAACTGCTTAAGGTGCTGGTAAGTTTGGTCCTTGAAATGCCATGACCAATCCCTTCCCATCCTCAGTGGACTTTCATGTCTCTTTTAAAAATTGCTGTGTGTGTCAAGGATTGCTTCTCCCCATATAGACCGATCCAGACCCTGCAATCATCATCTGAGTCCCTTCTTCGTATGATTCTTCCATAAGAGGTCCAGAGGGTGGCAATACAAGAATGGGCCTTTTCTGCAGTGACTCCCCATTTGTAGAATACTCCCCCTAGGGAGGCTCGCCTTTATTACATATCTTTAGGCGCCAAGGAAAAATGCTTTTCTATAACCAGGCCTTTGGCTGATTAGCATTCTATGACCTTTTAAATGTGTTTGTGGGAGGAAGGCTATTGGCTTCTGTTTGTGTTTATTTTATTATGTGTTCTCATCTTGTATTTTTATGTTGTGAACTGCCCCGTGATCTTTGGATGAAGGGCAGTATATGAAAGTAATAAATAATGGTAATAATAATAATAATAATAATAATAATAATAATAATAATTTGTTTGTTTTAAAAGAGTGATGCATGATCACACAAGTGATATTTCCAGGTTTTGTTTTCCTCTGAAAGGTGGACAAGTCTACCTGAACCATGGGGTGGTAGTGAACAGATGCATTCCAATTTCTTTTTCCATAGCAAAGACAGGAGACTGTTTTAAACTTGGATTAACTTCCGTAGACAAGCATAAATGGCATTCAAAGTGACAAAATTGTAATAACTTATAAATCACTAAAATAAAATAAGCTACATTATTGTAAAACCAAATAGAATGTTTTTGTTAATGAGCTTCAAAAGAATAGTCACATTTTACATATAAAAGCTACCATGCTGTAAAATGTGCAGTTCAAAAAAGAGTTCTACTCCTCTGCATGTGTGTGTCACAAAATAGTACAGATAGGAAATGTGTCCAAAATATGCTTGTGAAAAATGAATTTATTCTTAATAGCACATGATACTTTAAAATATGTACCTTCTAAAGAACAGGCATGTTTCTTCTTGGCCTGAAACCCCAGCTTTATTCCTGATGCCAATTACAATGCAGCTGCTCAATAATACTGTGTTGCACTGCACACCCAAGTCTTGCCACGCCTGGTGGCCCCACCTACTTCATTAATGATCTGGTGTAGTCGCAGTAAAGTCATTTCAACACATCAGCTCACAATGTATTTTACTTTGATAATGAAACCTCAGCATCTTTTCGTTGGTTTTCCCTAGTCATGCATCAAACAAGCAGCAGGAGACCATTATCCTGTGCCTATGCTGTATTCCACTGATGCAATCCTTTAAATATGGTTTTGTTATTTACTTTCCTATAATCGCAGTACAATAGGCCAAAGACGTGGCTTTCAAACAGCTTCATTTCAATCTGTGCCTTGCTGCTTTGATGCTGCTTCAAGTAGTCTTTCAAAAGACTTCAAAACATACTGCATAAAGGCTGTACCAGTGATAACCATCTCTTTCCCCACCCCCCACCTCCAGTGCTGAGTTAGAGGATTTTATTAGTTGCCATTTTGAAGTACCTTTTCTGCTGTGGCTTTTTGTTCCTCCCACCATTTCAGTTAGTGGATGTAGCATAGTGCCCTTGCTTGAATGTAGTTTTTAAATGAGTACCTGATCACTACCAACTTCTTAGTGGAGGTCATGAGAGGACATTATGAAGACTAAAACACTTTAATAAGCAGGTATGTGCATCCGTTTTCTCTGTCCTCAGTTGGGCATCAGTATAATAGCCTTGCTGAATAGCACTACAACTTGCAAATGGAATACGTTTCATCCTAAAAAGTAGGCATTGTCATTAAAGATACCTTAGCTGAAAGCAGGCAGACAGGTGCATATGATAATAACTAGCTGGAAACATCTGTACTAACTGAACATGAGAGAATATTTTGAAAGAAGCAGCTTTGTGAAAAGCACAGTAGCTTCCAAATTACTTGTGCAAAGGCCTTGCTTTACCCCCTCCCCAAATTTCCACCCTTTCCTTCTCTACAATCACCAATGAGTTTAAACCCTTGTCCACAGTGAGTTGAGAGTAAATCTCATGCTGCAGTCCCAAGAAACCATTGTTTCACTTCCTTGTGTAGACACATTAACAAATACGTTGTATGTTGAGTTTATAATGTATTAATTTGTGGGTGCTAAATGCCTGGATTCTGTAAATGTTAGAATTACAGCTTGTGAGTTAAAATGGGATGTCAGACCTGTATGTCTTAAACTGTATATTAGACCGTTTCTAGACCCTCTGAAATCACCATGAGTTAAGGGCTAATTAGGTCAAGGTAGTGCTTTGTAACTCAGACTAGTTTCCCTGGAGGTGTTAGCCTGTGGGGTAAGGAGCTGTTTAGCACAACTCACTACAGAGTGCAAAGAGGTGGGGCCCCTTTGACTCCAGAGAAAAAGCCAAGAGTTTAGGGATTGCAGTTAGGAGTTATGCAACAGTGAGTAAGCATTGGGCTGGAGAGAGAGGCAGAGAAATGGCTGGTGTCTGTTTAAATCCAATGCTGTGCTTATGGAAGAGGCAAGAGACCCTCTTGGAGTATAATGCTGGGCATCCCTCTAATTCAGACTCAGGTTAATATATATGTGTAAATAAACCATATATTATAAAGACACCACTGTCTCTGTTGTGCCTCATTTTCCAAAAGCAAACACAGACCCTGCGTAAAATGTGCCTGAAAGTCCTGTACTGCTGTGGAGATTGGTGTGGTGTGTAACAAGATGCATGGTTTTGTAGCCAGCAAATAGAATGATAAAAACAAGTTCCAGATCCCGCAGAGGTGGTTCATGTATATATCCATAAAGATGCAGAGAAGACTGATAGAACTAGTGTCCTAAAACCAACCTTTGCAGGATTCAATAGATCATCACACCTGCAGATGGCTTAGTAAAAGTTGAAAGATGTTTATGTAGCTGCTAGGACTGCCTCTTATTCTCATAAATGAGGCTGCCTGTGTGTTCCAAGTTCCTTTGTTTGTTTGTTTGTTTGTTTGTTTGTTTACTAGCCCCTTTTCGAAATTCAACTGCCCCTTTGTATTCACTGCCCACTCACATCAAGGATAAAATTAGGTACGCTGTGTTTAGTATATATTCCATATATTTTTTGATATAAGATTTTTAATGAGTGGAAGAGTCTGAAAGCTACAAGTAGCACTATCTGCCTGGCTCTCTTGTAGATTATACAGAGTCAGACAACCTGCTTTAGGAAATCCTGCAGTCACAACAATTTTGGAACTATCCTATGGGTCAGAATAGATGAATGCTTTCCTGTTTGATTTTGATAGAACAAACTATTTTTCCTTGTTGCACATCACTTGAATCTTTATAGGCATGCTACCTATGCAGAAATAATACATAGTGCAGACAAATTATCTATTTAGCAAATATTCTCCTATAAAAGCCACACTGAAAAACTGTCTCACTCTAGACACTTAATGGGGTGGCAGAATACTGAGGTGGTAGAGCATACAGTTCCACTTCAGATTGCTGGTAATATATATAGATATATAATATTTTAAAATTTATATAATTTTTGAATGCTTCCCCATCTCCAACAAAAATAAAGCTCTTGGGGGGGGGAGTTTTTTGCCACTTCCTGTACTAATAGTCTACTGTTAAGGGAAGATTCAAAAGTGTGAGCCAACATTGGCAGTTTGAAGCAGTACAATCCATGTTACCAACCCAGAATTCATTCTGCTGCATGTTCAGACTATGCCCAAGAAATGGAACCTTGGATGAGGCTGTGTAAATGGGAGTAGGATTTATTCTTAATGGCTCACAGTAAGTTCTATGAGACAGTGGAAACTAATAGAAATCTTGAGACAAAATTGAAAGGATCTGGCGCTTGCCTCTGGCAGTTTAGCGCATGCTCACTTCACCACTCTATTGGTTGTCACCGGCTGCACCCAGATAAATGAATAGCTTCTATTCCCTCCTATAGCAACAAATAAACAATAGCACGTATATAGATCAAATTCTAATGAACAAAATCCTGTAATTGTTTGAGTCAATGTCTTTCTGTACAGAAAGTTCTTCTTAAATGTAGACAAACATTGGAAAGAACGAATGTCATACTAAAAAAACCAAGTTGTTGGAAGGTGGCAAATGTTGTTTGTGCAAAGAAACACCAGATAAGTGTGGTAAACCTGTGTCTTTCAACTATATCACCTCAAGTAGCAGGTAGGGGTATATTTATTCCCAGGTTGAATACTCAACCATGGCAGGAAAAGTCTATACGTAAAATACCAGCAAGATGGCTAGCCCCTTTCCCTGGCATTTAATTTTCTGTACCTTGGAAATTATATTCGCACCAGGTGCCCAAAATCCAGGGACATCCTAGTCTGAAGTGGAACAGTCACTAAATAGGTTTACCACTTTATCTTGTGTTTATGAGTGGCAGGTCATAATTTTAGAGGCTTTCCCCCCCCAGAATTTTATGAACTTCTGAGCCAAAGTTTCAGTTCACACCGAATCTTAACTGCTGGATTACTAAATTGTCCACAATGGTAGTTTCTAATCAAAGGCCAGACAAGAAATCCTAGCTATCATTTCTGTAAAGACTGAGTATATAACAAACTTTTAATAGTTTCTTAAGCAAGTTAGCAGCAACAACAAAGAGCAATTACTTACTGGAAAGGAAGTGCTGAGAAGTAGGACCGAAATCTCGGTGGGCCTCATGCAACTGCCTGATACGCTCATCAATGGACACCTGCGTAGAGGGAAAATGACTCAGTGTAATAAAGGAGACAATAAGGTGTCTTGTTAAACTCCCCACCCCACCCCAATAATCCTGCTATTAGATGTCAATACAGCTAAACTTACTCCTGCAACAATTTGAAATGGCAGAATTAATGCTTTAGACAGGGAAAGAACATTTTGTTGGAATCGTGTACACAGTTCTATTCACACAAATCCAAATGAAGTAGATGCCACACATACATGGATAATTATGAGCAAGAGTGAAACCTTAATGTGTTTGGAGTTGTGCCCATGAGGATAAAAGCCAGCTTAAATCCAACAAACTTTCCACCTTCTAGATATGGTTTCTTTTCTTATCAACATTAAAGTGACAAGTCACTTTTCTGTTGTTTGTGATGGAATATATGTATTGTAATGTTTTGAAATGGAAAATTATAAATAAGCAGTATAAGCTGTGGCAATGCCCATTTGGGAAAACCTTTCTTAACTTGGAAATTTGCCAGGTCAGACTGAAAACCCCAATGTAGGTTTTGTTCTGAAAGCCTCCAATAAAACAGTCTCCAGAAATCAAGTTTTAATATATGGTTTATTTAGTGCGGATCATTTTCAGTGGTGATTGCTACTCATATTTTGCGAAGGGCACCTTTCAGGGTAACGGACTGGCTCTGAGGTTTGCTGTCTGAGATATGGGGTCATAAATTGGGACAGGAGCTGCCTGTAGGACCATCCTGTCTCATCTGCCTGGAGCTATGGGGTCTCAGGAAGGGAAGTGGGTGATGCAGCAAGGTCTACCTCCTTGCCTTCATAAAATGGCCTGGGAAGCAAATAAGTTGGATAGTGGTAACTCTGTTTCCTGCAGACAAGAGTTTGGTTGCCCTAGCGGCTGCAGTTTTAGTTCTGTGTTGAAGTTAGTTCTGCACCAATAGCTGTTTCCCTATGCAGGTGTTTTATGGATTTAATCTTAAAGCAACACAAGTTCAACCAAGCCTTTGCCTCTTTTTTCAGTTATCAGGTCGCAAATGAAGTTTTAATATGTAGTGCATTTATTGTGGATCTTTTTTTAGTGGTTATTGCTGCTGATATTTTGAAATAATTTGGTTCCTATGCTAGTACTAGTTTGCTTATATTGTTATATTTTTCAGAAAAAGTTAGGTAGTTACAATGGCAAAGCAATCTCTCCCCTTAAATGACAAACAACGTTTGAGTGATCATCTATATCCCCCATCACTTCTAAAACACCTTTCCTTTCCCAATGTATTATTTTCTTTTTGTTTTTTCCATGTTTCATCCCTTCCAATCTGGCTTCTGCTGTTACCATGCATCTGAAATTGTTCTTAATGTTGCTAATGATCTTTTAGCTACATCTCATGACAATTTAACTATTCACTTCTTACTCTTTGATGCTTTTTAAAGCTTTTGATACTGTTGACCACTCTATTATTCTTGTCTCTTTGTACTTTCCATGTTTTCATGGGCACATTCTTTCATGGATTTGATGCTATCTCTCCACCAGCTGTTGGTGTTAATGGCTCCCTTTCCACTCTTTCTGTTGGGGTTCCTTACAGTTCTGTTCTCAGCCTCTTCTATTTTTATATTTATGCTTCTTCTTTCAAGCATTATTTATTCATTCTACTTGGGTTACCTTGGTTTTTCCTAATGACCTTAACTTTTATTCTTCTTTCTCATCTGATCTTGTTAAACTAATATTCCTTCCGATTTAGCTATTTCATTATGAATGTCTTCTTACTATCTCAAACACATCTCTCAAAAAACAAATTTCAGGTTGGTCATCAGTTTCTTCTTTTCTTCACATTTATATTCTGCTGTTATTGTTATCTGAAATATTTGTTGATTTTTATCCCTTTATTGAAGCCACTGTGAAATCTTGTCATTTTCATTTGTTGAATATTTTTAAACTCCATTCAGTGTCCCGCTACAATTAACAATATGGCCTTTCAATGTTTGGAAGCTGTGTTGGATTATACCACAAATTGCAAAAAATAATAATAAAAAAAATGGAGCTTGTAGGTCTCCACTTAGATATTATAGAATATTCCTCTATGTAGTGATAAGCAGTGCTTTCTTTTTCTAAAAAAAAATGTTTAGGGGTACTCTCATTTTGACTCAAGAAAATCACCATTTTATAGTTCAAATCAGGGAAAATAAATACAGTAAATGGACAAAAGTACAAAGATTCACAAAATGTTTAGGGGTATGCGTATTCCTGTGATCCCCTGCCCCCCCAGAAAAAAGCACTGGTGATAAGGAATGTTTTCCAGATGGCGGATTTATTGTATGGGCTTGTATAGTCATAATTTGTTAAGATCTGAAATTCTTCGTTGCTTAAACTTTCTCTCTCTCTCTCTCTACTATATAATTAATATAGTTTAGATGGGATTATTAAATTTATATATTTTTAACAAGGGAATCTCAATCACTTCTCAAGACAAAAGGATGAAAAATCCAATAAACTGATTTCTAAAAAGTGTGGCTGATCATGAAGAATTCCATTCTTGGGTATATACAACAAGTGACATTTATTGCTAAAGACATACATTTCTGCACACATTTATATTTTCTATTCAGCTTTGAGACTTTGGATAAATGCATTACACACACTTATAAATATAAAGAAACAGACAAAATGCCTACCCTCCTACCTAATAAGACGCAAACAAAGACTCTCTTTATGCTTCTACAGTAATGCAACACATTCACCCCTCCACAACCTTTATCTATGCCTTTCAGCATTTCCAGCTTTTATAATCCTGGGTGCGGCCTTTTTCCCAAAACTGAGATAATTGAATTAATTTCATGCAGCAATTCCCATTTTTTAAAAAAGATATTATGAGCAGTGAGGATGGTCAAGGAACACATTTGAGTGTTGTATTTTTTCCTGTTAGAATTTTGTTTGTTTTATTCTAACTTTGTCAGAATACTGGAAACATGAATTTGCTAATAGGCAACTTCTGGATTATAAGCAGGTGTTCCACATAACAGTTCAGATGTATGTGTCAAATCAACTTGGTATGTGGTGGTGGTAGCTTCTACTGCTGAATAAAGAGGAACATCAAATATGAGTGCAGTGTTTCTCAAAATTTTTGATTCTTGCTCACTTCTAGAATTATAGAATCATAAAACTGTAGAGTTGGAAGGGACCAAAAGACTAATTTAGTTCAACCCCCAACAATACAGGAATCTTTTTGCCCAATGTGAGGCTCGGACCCATGACCCAGAGATTAAGAGTCTCATGCTCTAGCAACTGAGCTATATGAAAGATGAAAACATCCTACCATCTGAACATCCTATCTTCTGATACCCTCAACCTAGCACCAACCATCTAACAGAAAGTATGTACAGATCATTAGAGTGAGTGGAACAAATCATATCTAACCCCTCTTAAAACCACATATGCGTGAACGCCAGATAAAGCAGCACTTTTCATAAATCAAGTGGCTGCGTTGTGTGGACCACAAGTCCACCACAAGTCCAGTGTGGATGATTCAACCCAACCTTGCCTTGGATGGTGATAGTGAAAAAATATCTGCCTTTACCAACTTCAAACTTTGCTCTCCCCTTTCATGTGTTCCACTTTTCCCAAAAGACCCACTCCACATTCTGAGAAGCATTGCACTGGTGACAATAGCTGTGTACCTGAAAACATTTGAACACCTGCAAGATTAACTTGAATAATAGGTATTGTACAGTTTTGCAGTCAATACTACCAGAGATAGTACTTCAGCCAATACAAATAGAGTACCAGTTAAAGGAACAACTAACCAAGACAACAAAAGACACTCTCAAAACCATTTAGATAGAATTCATGCCAAATTCTTTTAACAAGAACTGCCATGATGCATCATGTCAATGATCCATCTAGCCTAGCATCTTCAACAATGCTTCATATGCTGCTAGGCAGTTGACAAAAGTAGAACACAACCTTCATCCTCCTTTTGTTTGTTTGCAGCACTTGGCCGGAAGACATATACTGCCTCTGAATGTGAATGATGTATTTCTGGCTAATGCAGCAAGTAGCAATCCTCTGCAATACTGAATCTTTTTCAAAACTCATTTATGCTAGTGGACATCGGAACATTCTGTAGCAATGAATTCAAAAGATGTCACAGTGCCTGGCAAGCTGCTGGAGACATTAGAATTTTAATTCTGAAGTCGGTGCATAACCTACGTGAAATTAAATCCCTTCATATATGGCAATATACCATGGTGCTCAAATGATTTAATCTGAGTGGCTTTAGAGCTTTTCACTTGGAAAGGGATATAGGATTTGCTGCTCATAAGGTAGGATTAAACCATGTGCACAACCTTAGTCTTTAGTTCTTGGTTAGATCATCCCTATTACTATTGCATAATACAGATCTATAGAAAACTCATAAATTAAAAAAAATCCTTAGGAAATCTACATTGCCTTTCCCCTCTGCACATTGTCTTTCCCCTTTTCATTTTAAGAAATTGATTTTTTATTATTTCTGGTAGATTGCTGTCTCTTGATTGCAAACAAATAGCTTTTCTTCTAACCAATATTAATAAACCAAATTACAATTTCACGAACTATAGTGATATTCATTAATTCTCTGCTATGAGGGAAAGCATTCACATGGCCACACATTTCTGCTACTTTCTTCAAACCTTTCTTCCACAGGAACTGAAATACCATTATTTATTTGTTTATTTTATTTGTTTATTACATTTTTATACCTCCCTTCACCTGAAGATCACAGGGCAGTTTACAACATAAAACACAAGATATTGGAGTATTTCTCTTGGGGAAAATCCCTTTCATTTTTCATCCAATATGACAACAAGTTTAAAATATAAGCAAAGATTATAATATTGTGGCTGCACATCCTTCAGGTTCTTGATTAAGATTTGGAATTATTTTATTTATTTAATATTAATAGCAACTATCAACAGTTCAAGGGGACTTATGTTTTGCTGAAGTTTAAACATTTACATTTAAGCTTTCATTCTGTAAATCATTAATCACATAAA